GGGGACGTTTGTCGACCTATATTTATATAAACTTTTCTTCCTATTTTAAGCTCTAAAAACCGCTGGTAGAATATTGTACACTTTTTTCGTGACACCCTGATATTTATATCTATAGCTTTTTCAGACGGATCCCATCCACTTATTTTTCCAATCTAAAATACAGAGCGGTGAAATTGAGGTTTGGTTCCATCTTGTAACATAATTCTTAATGGAATGGAGTTCATGTAATACCTTTTGGGTAGTTCACAACCTTAAAATGTTTTTGTATATTGGACCTAATACCTCAACACCTAATCATCAAAACTTTATAGTATGTTATATCACTCTTCTTCCTGTGGAAGGGTTTGTCTGAGTGTCCAGTAAAATATAGGATATTTTGTTGAACAAATCACAAATTTTCACATTTTTTTGAATGGACTGTGTCATATTTTATTACATATTTGGATAAACCCTGCCACAAGAAGAAAATTAACGTACTAGATCGTTTTGTTGAGTTACAAGCCACTCAATGTACAACATTGTCCAGATTTGACAGGTTGCTGCTTCGCAATTTTAATCTAGAGTTAGAAAGTGCTCGTAAAGGGCTTCGAGATGAGTTATCAAACGACACCCTATTCCATTTGAAAAAATGTTAAAAAATGGCGCCTAGCGGCCATCTTGAAATCTTCAACCACCTCTTTTACGCTGAAACATTCATTTATCAATTTCATTACTCTTACAAGTTTCAGCTTGCTGGCTTGAACCCTTCGCAAAGTGAGTAGGAAGGGCTTTCTAAAGGAGACCGTATATCTTTCTATGAGATCATAAATTACTAATAAACCTTCAAAATCACGTTTAAGATGTCTGGTGCTACCATCTGCGAGTTCCTAAACACACTAATTTTGTCACACATCTATATTTAGTCGCAAAGCAAGGTAAGTTAAAGAGGTGTCTCTAGGTCTACAGATATATTCAAATGCCACTGATGTCGTAATGTGTACGAGAGGGGCACCGGACGCGTGCAATACGTATGTTTGAAAGAGATAGAGGCACCACGTTGCCTAGCAGCCCGGGAGACGAGGGCACAGACCAAAAATGGATGCATTGAACGGCATGAACAAACAGAAACAGCATTGAGTTTATATGGAATGATTTACTTTCGCGGCAGCCCAAAAGTATTCGAAAAGTTGAGGTGCCCGATCGTACGTCACTGGATACGATGCTTTATAGCCTTAAAGTTTCACGTAGGGAGTAGGTCACATGTTGTAAGTTGATTTGTTGCCCTTTTGTGGAGAAAGTTAATATTATTTATGTGAGAGCATGAGATGGCGCGCGGACTTCTGTGAGAAACTTTTGTGTTTGGAAATAAGTTTTATATTACCCGTGAAAATTTAAGTTGTGGACTCGTGTGAATGGCTGTACAGAGTGATCATGGATAGTTGGGTGGAACAGAGAACTTTGTAGATTGAAGATGATCTCACTTGGTAGAACCCTTCCATCGTATGGTCAAAATAGAAATTGTTTTGTAGTTGTGAGTGAAGTGAAACGCGTTACGATTTCTTCTGTATTTTACTATGAAACTTTGAACCATAAACTGTACTACTCAATCACGAAATAGGTAAGTCGAGGTTCAGTGAAGCTCCTTGCGATTCAGTCTGGATCTTGAAAACGTGTAACTTAACATTCCTCAGCCTTGTGTTTACAAGCATTCTATGGGTAAACAAAAATAATTTTGCGGTTTTCGTATGTTTTTATGTCGAAAAAATTATTGATTCCCAAGAAGAACCAATCAATGTCACTCGCCACAAATGGTGGAAACCAATGAATTTGCGAAAATACGAACTCATAGCTGCCAATTCTGATAGGTGTTGTGGCAAAGCTATGAGCCTGAAAACATAGGGAAATACTCAGTCTCCTTGCCGCTTCAGGATGGTGTAGGGGTAATAAAAATATTGAAATTAATATCATTTGTAGTTGCTCTAAGCTGTGAGTACTCAGGTGCGACAGCAGAATTTATACATCACACTTCCAAGTTGAGGAGTGAGTAATTATTGGTCGACCACCTTTGTGTTCTGAGAAGCATAACGACGCAGGATATAATGTCTCAGATCAATAATGGCCTCCTCAAACGAGGTACGGGTAAAATTATTCTCATTACTAACACTGTGTATACAGGGTGTCCCGAAAAAAGTGTGCAATATTCTACCAGCGGTTTCTAGAGCTTAAAATAGGAGGAAAAGTTTATATAAACAGGTCGACAAACGTCCGCTAAGGGCGCTATGGTCTTTTAAAGGCGCTCCCCTGAAGATGGTTTTTCCTTAATATTTCCGAAACGTGTTGAGGTAAAGACATAAAATTTGGTATCCTAGCCTAGTTTTTTATGCTGGATTTAAAAATATAACAATTCTAGACAGTTTTGTTTGGAAGCGTATGTAACAAGGACGGCCTCAGATTATTTTAGTCGATTTAAAATGCCAAGATTTACAGACCGAGAACTGACTGACATGCATTTTGGGTACGGGTGTTGCAATGGCAGTTCATTGGCAGCCGTAAGAGAATATCAACGATTTCCCAATCGCATAGTACCTGGACGTCGAATGTTTACTGATATTCACTGGAATTTGTAAAAAACCATGGAAGTTTTTAGCGCATGCAGAGCTCAGGAAGGCCACTGGGAAATCATCGTATGGACATTGCTTTAACTATGTTTGAAAATAATCCGCAAATAAGCATACGAAATGTTTCAGAAAATATGGATATACCTCGATCAATGGTAAAATAAATTTATGAATACCTATTTGATAGTTATCCTAAAAATAATAATTTTAGATAGGAAGAATGACAAGAATGCAAGGGTTACATCCTTATCATTTTAAACGGGTGCAGCATTTAACGGAGGCAGATTTTTTACCACGAATCGAGTTTTGCCTGTGGATATTAGCAAATGAAAACACTATTCCTAGAATATTATGGTTGGATGAGTCAATATTTACTAGGAATGGTGCTTTCAATTTTCATAACATGCATCACTAGTCATATGAAAATCCAAAAGTTGTCCGCCGTACAAATTTCCAACATAGATTTTCATTGAACTTATGGGCAGGAATAATTGGGGATTAAGTAATTGGGCATATTGTACTTCCCAATTGTCTTAATTCAGAGGTATATCTGAACTTTCTTCAGAACGAGCTCATGGATATAATACCATTACCAGCAGTTTCAAGAAAATATGTTTTTCCAACATGATGGCGCCCCTGCACATTTTGGATGCAATGTTCGAAGTTGGTTGAATGTCAATTTTCCAGTCAGGTGGTTAGGCTGAGGAGGTCCTATTGCGTGACCACCATGTTCACCTGATCTAAAACCATTGGATTTCTATTTTTGAGGGTCATTAAAGGACCTAGTTTACTCGACTGTAAATACTCAAGAAGATTTACTTCAAAGAATCCATCAGGCTTCAAATGAAATAAGAAGAAAAAGGTTTTCCACTTTTCGGGCTACGCAATCATTAGTCCGTCGAGCGAGACTCTGTATCCAACAAAATGGGAATTTATTTGAACACTTATTGTGAAGCTAGTTTTAAGTATATCCAACTGTATGTCTTCTTTTTTAAACAAATTTCATTTCGTTCGTAGGAAAAATTTAATTCTTTTATTTTTGCCTAAATGTTAGCTATGCTGCAATAGAAATATGTATTTATGTAATATTTACCAATTATTAAATTAGTTTTTTCGTTACCATGGCTAATTATTCAACAATTCATTTGAATTCGCAGTACATTTTCTATCATGTGACAAATCTTTAGTTTGATTTTATTCAAAAATAGCACAATTTATCGATATTCAATAAGAGTACCTTTTTTATGTAGAAAACCCTAAATCTTCAAATTCTAAAGTTGAATTTCAAAAATAGAATCACTCAAAACTGTTGGGGCTCAAATAACCTGAGTCTGTCCCTGTTACAAACGCTTCCAAACAAAACGATCAAAAATTGTTAATACTCGTAATTTTTAATCCAGCTAGGCTGGAGTACCAAATTTTATGTCTTTATCTCAACACGTTTCGGAAATATTAAGGAAAAACCATCTTCAGGGGAGCCCCTCTAAACGACCGTAGCGCCCTTAGGGGACGTTTGTCGACCTATGTTTATATGAACTTTTCTTCCTATTCTAAGCTCCAGAAACCGCTGGTATAATATTGCACACTTTTTTCGGGATACCCTGTATATCACCTAGTTCGACATTATAAGGTATTATCTGATGCTTGGTGTCTGAAGGACAAAGTCTGTAGAATGCGATAGGAAGCAGATTTGGCCTGCGGATTGGAAGGTGCTAACATCTGTTGATTGTGTTTTTTTTGGTAGGATTTAAAGCCACTCTTCAATACTCGTTGAAATACCCCAAAAAGGTAGCTACCCAACTAGCTATACAGTCCACTCTATCTAATCTTTGATTGCGAAAGATAGGGAATTGTTGAAAAAAGGCCCAGCCATGCCTTTTTCCAACTTTGCTACAAAGTCGATGAATATACACTTTCACAGTTGCAGAAGTCTGTTTTCAATGAACTTCTTAAAACAACTCAAAGACCGCTGACTTTTGAATTCGAGATGACCCCTTTTGTAGGAAAAAAAAAACGACGAACATTTTAGATGAACAAATAAATAGGTTACTACATTTTGCTGAGAATATAATCAGCTAATAAGTAGAAAATAAGAAATTTGCATCAACCTTACATAAATCACTTTAAACTCGATTAGAATAGCACATGAAATTTAAAATTAGTTGTCATGAATAAACGTATACTTCGTTTTATTGTTGAATAATTATAGGCCTATGAAATTAATAGTTCAAGTGTCTCAAAGTGAAAATTTCCACTGAGAATCGGACACGTGTTATAATTGAACATTGAATCCACATGTCGGGAGTGTTACTTAGACGTGAACACTATGGGGTGAGAATTCTCTAAAGTATTCGTTGCATAAGTAATGAAATAAGTACTTTATTTTGTGGTGCATATTCGTACCTTTTCAGGAACCCAAAGCAATTTTCTTTTCCATACCAAGTTATAATAATCACATTTGATACACACACAACATCTGAAAAAATTAAACATTTGATATTCTCATTGAAATATTGTTTTCAGCCGTTTCTCCATGCCAATGGAATGTTTGATTTGAATTGAAATGGACTAGACCGCAAACCAGATGTGCTTCCTCCTTCACTTTTATTAGAGAGAGATTGACACCAAACTGACGTAAGGGAGTCTGCATGTTACAATTTTAATTGGCATTTCTTCTTAAGTGGGTATTTTCTGTTATCATTATTTACCTTTTGAGGACTGTTGTTTAAAGTCTCCTTGCATGCTTTTATGTGTAACAGGAAAGCGAGATTATGAATAATCACACAGATAAGAATTTTCTGAAGTGAAAATCTGAATGCCGGGTTAGGGTAATACCAGTCTAAATATGCCGGAAGTCACTGGTAAACGATGAACAAACTTTTCGACTGAAGCTACTCCCTCGGAAGCATTTTGCTCCCCAGAATATAAAATCGAGATGCAAGGAACTTTTGTAGGAATATTTAATTTCTCTTGAACTTTAACTAGTTGTATACTTTAAAGTTTGACATCCACAATTTTAGTCAAGCCAGTTACCTTCGTAATGAGATTTTTTATTTACACTAAGAACTTCCTGGACTCTTGAAAACAATTCAGAATTGTCTCCAGTAGAAGTCAAGTGAAATGGGGATTTACTCGAGCGCAGAAGAATAAGATAAGAAGATAGGATCCTGTTAAGCACCTCCACCACATATAAGCCCTATACAGGGTGGTACTTCTAGGGCGTCCGAATTGAAGAAATCGATGGTTAGAAATACCTGTGCGCGTCAAACTAAGATAAGGACCACTTATCAAGCTCCATTAATGTAAGGCAAATTTTCGAATGAAAATGCTTATTAGTGCACTAGCAAAATATGCCTGTATATTCAATTTAGAGGCAAAAAAGGGTATATCCAAATTATATGAAATACCAAAATTATAATCACTGCATACATTGTACCTTTTGCACTATAAATTATGTATTTCAACTAAGAATTGTTATGTACGTTTTAGTTGTTATGTGAAGCCCAGACACAGGTATATCGGCTTTTTGCGGATGGTAATTATTTCACATTCGATTGTCAATGTTTCGTGAGTAAATCAGATAATAATAAAAATAATAAGACAATGTAAAGATGGTGTTACTTTCACAGCACCTATACAGCAAATCAGCTTTTTGTACAAATACAATTTGTTCTACTTTAGCCGATTATCAGAGCAGATCGAACGAATAAGTGTACCTCTTGACGGTTGGCCGGTTCATGGTTTGGATGTAAAACTGGAAATTAGATTATTCAAGGGTATTCGCTTTGTCCGGGGAATATTGAATCATGCAAAAGTAAAAGATGTGTCTTGTTAATACGATTCAATATTTCAGTGTAGTTATAGTAATAAGCAATAAACGATATGACTTTTTGATTATTTTCATCCCCATTTCCCACTACAACTACATAAGCTTTGAGAACTATAATTATTACTACTATTACCATTAATAAATTGTGAAAGTTATTAGACATTTCGATTTTTCCATACGCGAAATACTATGTTAAGCCCAATAAGTTCCTTAAAACTGGATTATTTTTATTGTCTCTTGAGAAATTAAAATTGTGCGGTGAGGTTTTTGAGAATCAAATACTCGGATACTTTGGGTTATACAAAAGCTTGTGTCTCTACTATTCTGATACGTAGGTAAACTAGGCAGAGGTGGTGAGCGTCTCAGACCGTCAAAAGATATTAGGTAATAATACTGAAGACCAGCGTCTTTGCAAGTCTAAGTGTTGCTTAAAATATGACTCGTCCTTGGCATTTATAAGAACAAACAATGAATCTCTTGACGTTTCTGTATCGTCTCCTTCTCAATATATTTAAAGTCTCAGTCCTTACTATGCCCGTTCAGTCAGGGAGATGTTGACCTTGCATCTGCTCACTTATTTTCCACCTCTACATTGACACACATTAGCAAATTGGAATATTTTCTTTGCAAGAAGGGAAATCTAGGGAACATGGATGTGTTCCTCTACTGGACGTCATCTCGTCCTCGCAAATTTCACTGTGTAATTGACCTTACCTAAATATCTATTTTTGAAGATCAGTCAGTTTGACACTGTCGAACATAAGGCAGTGCTGAGATGAGAGTAAATGGTAATTGAAGAAGCTGCCATTCCGACCAAAACCTATGACAATACACCTTGTCACCACAAAAAGATTTCAAATACTGCTCATTCTAAAAAAGTTTCAAACAAAAACCGTAGGGTTTCGAGAGGCAAAATGACAATGACCTTGCCTAGGACTTTCAAAGGTCAAGTGAATATTTGGAATATTTGGAACCACTCTTTTCTTACATCGAACTTGAAAAAAGGAAATTTTACGTCCTTCCATCACCTTGGCCATGGCCTTGACTATTGTCTGCAAGGCCACTTCAAGGTCAAACCAAGACTTTAATCAATTTTCTCTAGCAAAAAGGTTTCAACACACAGTTGTGGCGTTTGTCCGAATCACCCAAACATGACATTGGCGATGACCTTGAACATCACTTTCAAGGTAAAGTCAAAATTTACAAAGTAACCCTTTCATTTTTATACTGGAACTGAGAAAGTGTCCTGGTTTTTCCATTTACAATATAAAAATCAAAGCTAGTTTTTAGTTAATCTTGAAGGTAATGGTCAAAGTCATAGGTAAGGTCACCGTTGAGCAATCCCCATAAACCTCACGCATGTGCCGTCGAACACTTTCACCAGGTGTCAAATTGTTTTCAATGTATGTCCAGCTGGGGGGAAAAATACATCCTTTTCGATTGAAATTATGATACCACACTGAACTGTATTTCAGCAAATGAATTGAGTATTATTATCTTGATTTCGCCTTTGATTTGCACTTGAAGCAGTAATCAAGGTAATGCTGAAGGCCATGGTCGGAACGTAAAATTTTTTCATCTTTCCAATTTCGAGCTGAAAAGGGAGGCTTCATCTGAAAATCTGCACTTGACCTTGAAGATCACAGCCAAGGTCATTGACAAGGTTACGATCAGTTTGATCTCTCAACTTGTGTTTGAGTCTTTCCTATATAGAATTATATACTTAGTTGGAGAGATTAAAGTGGGACACCCTCTATAGCTCAACTCTAGTATTTGATTATAAGGACCTGGAGCTCTCATTGAACGGTCCGATCAAAAACGTGCGATAAAAGGAAATACTCCAGACAGCTTCACAAAGGACCGAGCTTTTTCCACCATCCAAGCTTCACGTCACTAATAAAGTCGAGCCAGTTATTATATTATTCCGTTTCGAGTTAACTTGTTAAGCTTGGCTTACGCGAATTGAGTCTAAAGCGGCCCACTTACTTACATGCTTGTTAGATTCTCAGGAGCTTTGAGGAAATATTAGTCGCACACTGATATCTAACATGTCCATAATTGATATTGTTGGGAATAAAAGTAGCAAGCAGTTCTTTCATCAATTATTCGGTTTTTTCCAGCAATGAATCCCTGGCAGTCTTGAACAGTCATTTATAGTGGACCAGATGAGTCCAGCATGTAGCTAGGCAATAGCCTACCACCAACATGTACGGACGACAATATTTAACGGTCTCTGATACTCAGAAGTTCTTTATTGGGAATGGCCCATTATAGTCGGCTTATTTGCATAACTAACGGTCTGTAAGCTATGCAAGCAATTGTACCAGGATGTAAGATAGATAGCAATGTAAGATATAAAGTGGCGTTGCAAACTGGCCATACAATGACAGAAAATGACGAACTGAATGACATAAAAGTAACGTGAAAATGACCTCCTAATGTCACACATCGATGACGTCATATGGCAGAAGTCAATAATACAGCACTTGCTGGACATGATGATGACGTCTATTATTTAAAACGAATAACCAGTTTTAGGTTCTTCAAAAAATCATATTGCGTTACCAGTAGTATTGCCCTGACGAAGCACCATTGAAACACTGGGTCACCAGTCGACGAAATTCGACATAATTAGTAGCCCCCGCAACCCTCGTTCTACCAGTTTACACATTTGGAGTGGAATACTACGCTCATGTTTTCATTCTTATACCCTATGAGCTCTATAATACTACGGGTAACATACATGTATTACACGCAATATGCTAGAGAATTAAAGTCACGTGAGCCTGAAGCTATTTTCAAAATGATTTGATTTTTTATGGTTTTGGAAATATTCAGTACGTTGAAGCAACAAGGCGCGGGTAGCAGATAAAATTGTCGGAAGCGTGAAGAAATAACATCGACTGCAGCGATCCGCGATTGTCGTTTGCTGTCAATTTTGTCACTTGATTCAGCGTTGCCAGATTAAAACGTTTTCAAGAATACATAACACATTCAATAGCTAAAATGTGGTATGTGTTCTTTCTGCTTTCTTATGTTTTATCGAAATATTGTAATCCAATAAGGTAATTCTTTCCTTCATTATGTACTCACATTTATTTTTAAAAATCAGGAACAGGTAATTTTGCAGAACAGCCGACGAGAGCGCGGAACCGTGTACATTTAAATTTGCTAAAAATTAGTGATTTTATAGATTAGTGCCCAGTATTAAATTAGTATGCTTAGTAAATACCTATTTTTGTTACTATCTATTTGATATCCGTATATGAGTGGAGAGCTTTAGCCTTAGTCAAGTATCTCTCCCGCGAATTCAGAGAGAGCGAGAGAGAGCTCTAATTAGAGCTACACATTTTTCTTTGATCGGTGGCCGAGATCAAAGGGGAACACTACAAAAGGGAGTAATTTTCGCAAGTGGCGAAGGAGAGACGCCGTACGAAGTGGAGTGCTCGAAGATTGGCGTGCGAGCGATTTTTGAATTAAGGAGGGTCATGTATGTGACGAGCTAAGGATGGTCGGAGACCCGTATTTTCGTTCTCAAGACCGACACTCTTTCGAAGAAGTGAAGAGGGGCTACATTGTTGTGTAGATTGGGCCATTTAAAGTTTGTAATTTGAATCTGTTATGAAGCAGAGACTAACTCTTGGTTTTATTTGAGAGGTCGTAC